GAAAAACCCTTGAGTGAGTAGGTATGTCCAAACTTTTGACTGGTAGTGTATATATATATATATATATATACAGTGCCTTGCAAAAGTATTCATCCCCCTTGGTGTTTTTCCTATTTTGTTGCATTACAACCTGTAATTTAAATGGATTATTATTTGGTTTTCTTGTAATGGACATGCACAAAATAGTCCAAATTGGTGAAGTGAAATTTAAAAAATAACTTGTTTCAAAAAATGCAAAAAAAGTAATAAAGGTAAAGTGGTGTGTGCATATGTATTCACCCCCTTTGCTATGAAGCCCCTAAATAGGATCTGGTGCAACCAATTACCTTCAGAAGTCACATAATTAGTTAAATAAAGTCCTCCTGTGTGCAATCTAATTGTCACATGATCTGTTACATGATCTCAGTATACATACACCTGTTCTGAAAGGCCCCAGAGTCTGCAACACCACTAAGCAAGGGGCACCACCAAGCAAGCAGCATCATGAAGACCAAGGAGCTCTCCAAATAGGTCAGGGACAAAGTTGTGGAGAAGTACATATCAGGGTTGGGTTATAAAAAATATAGAAAAAAACATTGAACATCCCACGGAGCACCATTAAATCCATTATTAAAAAATGGAAAGAATATGGCACAACAACAAACCTGCCAAGAGAGGGCCGCCCACCAAAACTCACGGACCAGGCAAGGATGGCATTAATCAGAGAGGCAACAAAGAGACCAAAGATAACCCTGAAGGTGCTGCAAAGCTCCACAGCTGAGATTGGACTATCTGTCCATAAGACCACTTTAAGCCATACACTCCACAGAGCTAGGCTTAACGGAAGAGTGGCCAGAAAAAAAGCCATTGCTTGAAGAAAGAAATAAGCAAAAGGCATGTGGGAGACTCCCCAAACATATGGAAGAAGGTACACTGGTCAGATGAGACTAAAATTGCGCTTTTTGGCCATCAAGGAAAGCGCTATGTCTGGCACAAACCCAACACCTCTCATCACCCCAAGAACACCATGTTTTTCATCAGCAGGAACTGGGAAACTGGTCAGAATTTTAGGAATGATGGAGGCGCTAAATACAGGGAAATTCTTGAGGGAAACCTGTTTCAGTCTTCCAGAGATTTGAGACTGGGACAGAGGTTCACCTTCCAGCAGGACAATGACCCTAAGCATACCGCTAAAGCAACACCTGAGTGGTTTAAGGGGAAACATTTAAATGTCTTGGAAGGGCCTAGTCAAAGCCCAGACCTCAATCGAATAGAGAATCTGTGGTATGAATTAAAGATTGCTGTACACCAGCGGAACCCAGTTTTGCCTTGAAGAATGGGCAAAAATCCCAGTAGCTAGATGTGCCAAGCTTATAGAGACATACCCCAAGAGACTTGCAGCTGTAATTGCTGCAAAAGGTGGCTCTACAAAGTATTGACTTTGAGGGGGTGAATAGCTATGCACGCTCAAGTTTTCTATTTTTTTGTCTTATTTCTTGTTTGTTTCACAATACAAATATTTTGCATCTTCAAAGTGGTAGGCATGTTGTGTAAATACTTTGTGATCCAAACACCTAAAACTTAAATTTGTCTGTCCATAACACTTTTTTCCAATCTTCCTCTGTCCAGTGTCTGTGTTATTTTGCCCATCTTGGCCAGTCTGAGATATGCCTTTTTCTTTGCAACTCTGCCTAGAAGGTCAGCATCCCGGAGTCGCCTCTTCACTGTTGATGTTGAGTCTGGTGTTTTGCGGGTACTATTTAATGAAGCTGCCAGTTGAGGACCTGTGAGGCGTCTGTTTCTCAAACTAAACACTCTAATGGATTTGTCCTCTTGCTCAGTTGTGCACCGGGGCCTCCCACTCCTCTTTCTATTCTGGTTAGAGCCAGTTTGCGCTGTTCTGTGAAGGGAGTAATACACAGAGTTGTATGAGATCTACAGTTTTTTGGCAATTTCTCGCATAGAATAGCCTTAATTTCTCAGAACAAGAATAGACTGACGAGTTTCAGAAGAAAGTTCTTTGTTTCTGGCCATTTTGAGCCTGTAATCGAACCCACAATTGCTGATGCTCCAGATACTCAACTAGTCTCAAGAAGGCCAATTTTATTGCTTCTTTAATCAGCACAACAGTTTTCAGCTGTGCTAACATAATTGCAAAAGGGTTTTCTAATGATCAATTAGCTTTTTTAAATGATAAACTTGGATTGGCAAACACAATGTGCCATTGGAACACAGGACTGATGGTTGCTGATAATGGGCCTCTGCACGCCTATGTAGATATTCCATTAAATATCAGCCATTTCCAGCTACAATAGCCATTTACAACATTAACAATGTCTACACTGTATTTCTGATCAATTTGATAGATAGATATTTTAATAGTGTGTTATACTGTAGGATTGTATTGATGTATTAATGTTGATTGTTTTCTGCCCAGGCACTACAGATGAAAATTAGCTATCTAGCTAAATCTGGTGCAATGGCATGTTGTACATGGTCGCTGACAAATAAACATAATAATAATAATAATAATAATAATGCTTTGGTTTTAACAGTGAAATTAGAGGTCAAAGATGACTGTTTCGTAAATATCTTTAGTGCTGCTGACAATCCTCTAAGCTTTGTCCCATTTTTATACCTAAAAGGCTACACAGAGGGAGGGTGAATTAATGGCAATACAAAAATAAGAACTTTAAAGCCAAAGATTTTTACAGGGCATAAGATAATCTTAGGTTAAAGTTAATCTCTAAAATATATTCTGTATTGTCCTCAACATAAAATCATATTTTTTCCCTGTCACGCCCTGGCCTTGAGAGGACTGTTGTCTTTAGTTGGTTTGGTCAGGGCGTGAGGATCTATGTTAGAATTTCTATGTTTAGGATCCAGATGTGTATTTCTAGGTTTGGCCGGGTGTGATTCCCAATCAGAGGCAGCTGTCGCTCGTTGTCTCTGATTGGGGATCATACTTAAGTAGCCTGGTTGCCTACCTTAGTTATGGGATCTTGTTCCGTGTGTAGGCTTGTATTTGTATAGCCTGAGGACTTCATGTTATGTTGTTTTGTTTATTGAGTTTAATAAACATGTTCGCATACCACGCTGCAACTTGGTCTGACCCGTCTCTCAACGATTGTGACATTCCCTGACATAAGTTACCATCAACCACCAGTTTCTGATTATGTTTGATTAAACATTGGTGAAATACGTCCACAGCAGGAGACAAGTGTGCGACAGACTTACATTTTCATTTGTACACTCTAAAAATTAGGGGTTCAACAAGGGTTCTTCTAAGATCCTCGAAGTTCTTCAAAGAACCTTAGGGTTCTTGCCACTGAAAATTGCCCCCAAAAGGTTCTTCCAAGAACTCCATAGCAGGTGGGGTTAATCGAGGAACCTCCTTTAGTTGGTGGGGGTTCTTGCAAGAACCTAACTGCCCAACTGAAACATTTGGATTTTAATTTGAAAGGACAGCAGGTGCAGGCACTTAACTGAAAAATGTAAAGATCTCCTCAATTTAAGGTAAGGTTTGTCCCTTATATGATCTAAATTGATATTGTTTTATGATGATACCATCTACCTTTTCATATTTGTGCAAATCTTTCTAAAACAGAAAATGGACACAATTCAATGAATATCAATCAACAAAGAGGTAAGAATATGTAGGCTATAAGAATATGTTGAAGGCTAGCTGTATTGGGTGCAGATGACTGAAATGCTCACTTTTGTGTCTGTGTCTGCAGGTATACAGCCGAGGAGACATACAAAGGTATGTCAATTGGTATTGGTATGTTATGCAGATCACATGTACCATCCTCCTCCCTTAACTCTTCAATGAAAATCCCATAGGCCTCTACATTATGGACCTTGTATGTGTATGAAAACCATTATCCAAATAGTTTTTTCCATTCACATTTACCACAAAAACCAAGGAATGAACACTCTCGTGTGCATGTTTTGTTAAACATCGGTATAATTACAATTCTTTGGATTCACAGACTTCACCCGCCCTATACCTCTGATGTATATAACAGGAAACCTGTTCGATCACCATGCACTGTAAAATCAATATTGGCTATGGATACGGAGAACATCAACACATTAACATCAACATGTCAGAGGATATACCCATTGGACTTGGGGCTCTGCTCGAGTGTACCTCATATTTGGATATTTCTATTCTGCTTTGCCACTAAAATCATAATAAACACTGACAACTAAAATATTGTGTTATTGTTATGCATATTAATAATAATAATAGGGGAGGGGGGGTAGTTCAAAAAAGGTTCTTAGAGGATCCATTAAAAAGGGTTCTTCGAAGAACTTATAAGGGTTCCCCCACTGTTTCAATTTGAAGAACCCCTAAAGTAAACTTTTATTTTTAGAGTGTAGTGTACTATAATGACATAATCATCATGTTCTGTCCCCTATCTCCTCCAGCTGTTGGGAGCTCAGTACAGTACATTAATTACACACTGTGGGCTTTCCCTTCTTTCCCCTCTATTCAACACAGAGTAGCTGTGTGGCCATGACTGCGTCCCAAACGGCACCCTATTCCCTTAATGGGCACAACTTTTGACGAGAGCCTTCCAGGGCCCATAGGGCTCTGGTCAAAAGTAGTGCAGTATATAGGGAAAGGGGTGCCATTTGGGACGCAACACCATCCGACCACGGTCTGGCGTGTTTTAAAAGTAGGAAGCGTTAAGAAGCTTTGGGAGCAGAGCTGCAGAATAGCCTTGGTCAGGTCAGCAGCAGGTTGGACACGCTTCTGTCAATTCCGGAGAGAGAGGCAACGGCTCACTTGCCCAGGATTAACTGGGATAGAGAGAGGATTACACTCTTCTCTCCTTTCTTTCCTGCTCGCTACGTCGTAAAAGCACGGACCTGTTACCAGCGGATCCCCCGGGAATTCTATCTCTGCGGCCAAAATTTCATTTTTCATTTTATTACATTTTTATTTGTTAATTTCTCTCTTTCCAAGGTCTGGGTTAGGGTGAATTTCCAGCAGTCAGTGCTGGGATATCACCATGAGGCAGGCTGTGGAGGCCGAGGTGGTGATGTCTTCCCCTAGACTGGGTGACCATGGTCAGTAATAGGAAACAGCTTCTCTCTCAACCTCTAGCTGATGACAATGCACTTCTCCTCCTGTATGTTGTGATAATCCTATGGCTGTTTATCTTTATGATTATGTTTATGTTGGTGTTTTCCTCCAGGCCTGAGGCAGATCCTGTCTGACGTGGTAGAGGAGGTGAAACATTCCATCAAAAAGGAAATCAATGGGGCAGAGCTCCTACACAGCCTCCTCAACACCCCCTGGCTCAAGTCTCTGCTCAAAGTTAGTCTGGGAGTCTGTGATATACTCTCATCTGGGGTTTAGAAAGGCTGTGTTTCACTTTATCTGTACTTTTTATTTATTTATTTTTATTTATTTCACCTTTATTTAACCAGGTAAGCCAGTTGAGAACAAGTTCTCATTTACAACTGCGACCTGGCCAAGATAAAGCAAAGCAGTGCGAAAAAAACAACAACACAGAGTTACATATGGGGTAAACAAAACATAAAGTCAAAAATACAACAGAAAATATATATACAGTGTGTGCGAATGTAGTAAGTTATGGAGGTAAGGCAATAAATAGGCCATAGCGCAAAATAGTTACAATTTCGTATTAACACTGGAATGATAGATGTGCAAAAGATTATGTGCAAATAGAGATACTGGGGTGCAAATTAGCAAAATAAATAACAATATGGGGATGAGGTAGTTGGGTGGGCTAATTTCAGAATGGCTGTGTACAGATGCAGTGATCGGTAAGCTGCTCTGACAACTGATGCTTAAAGTTAGTGAGGGAGATAAGAGTCTCCAGCTTCAGAGATTTTTGCAGTTCGTTCCAGTCATTGGCAGCAGATAACTGGAAGGAATGGCGGCCAAAGGAGGTGTTGGCTTTGGGGATGACCAGTGAGATATACCTAATGGAGCGGAGACTACGGGTGGGTGTTGCTATGGTGACCAGTGAGCTAAGATAAGACGGGGATTTACCTAGCAGTGATTTATAGATTACTTTCTCTTGGTCTCTGCTCCACCCAGTGAGTGGAGGGTGTCTTTGACTTGTGTTTGTCCATACTCTTGTCTTGTTCTGGGTGTAGGTTTAACCTTTTCTCTGTCTCTGCTCCACCCAGGTGTATGAGCGTCTGCAGCAGCACCAGCGAGAGCCTCCTGCTCCCTTCCTACCATACACAACACAGCTCATCCAACAGGTAGGACCTTTCCCTCTACTGCTTTGCCCTCTTCCCTCATTGGCTTGTCAGAGGTGTCAGTGAGGTCAGTCCTGTCCTATGTCCACTCTGCTGCTGTCTGTGTTCCAACCCTTCTTTCTGCTTCTCTTCTAGATTCTGGCTGACATGAGAACAGTTCCGGACCCTTCTGCTGAGGCCAGGGAACTTTACAGTCTCCTCAGGGGACCACACTTCCAGGTGAGAGATCCTGAGGCAACAAGGGCTCCTATGATCCTAACCTTGGTATCTGTGGTTGCAGTAACTAAAGTCTTCTGGGTTGTGTGAGTTATTTACAGTGGGGAAAAAAAGTATTTAGTCAGCCACCAATTGTGCAAGTTCTCCCACTTAAAAAGATGAGAGAGGCCTGTCATTTTCATCATAGGTACACGTCAACTATGACAGACAAATTGAGGAAAAAAAATCCAGAAAATCACATTGTAGGATTTTTATTGAATTTATTTGCAAATTATGGTGGAAAATAAGTATTTGGTCACCTACAAACAAGCAAGATTTCTGGCTCTCACAGACCTGTAACTTCTTCTTTAAGAGGCTCCTCTGTCCTCCACTCGTTACCTGTATTAATGGCACCTGTTTGAACTTGTTATCAGTATAAAAGACACCTGTCCACAACCTCAAACAGTCACACTCCAAACTCCACTATGGCCAAGACCAAAGAGCTGTCAAAGGACACCAGAAACAAAATTGTAGACCTGCACCAGGCTGGGAAGACTGAATCTGCAATAGGTAAGCAGCTTGGTTTGAAGAAATCAACTGTGGGAGCAATTATTAGGAAATGGAAGACATACAAGACCACTGATAATCTCCCTCAATCTGGGGCTCCACGCAAGATCTCACCCCGTGGGGTCAAAATGATCACAAGAACGGTGAGCAAAAATCCCAGAACCACACGGGGGGACCTAGTGAATGACCTGCAGAGAGCTGGGACCAAAGTAACAAAGCCTACCATCAGTAACACACTACGCCGCCAGGGACTCAAATCCTGCAGTGGCAGACGTGTCCCCCTGCTTAAGCCAGTACATGTCCAGGCCCGTCTGAAGTTTGCTAGAGTGCATTTGGATGATCCAGAAGAGGATTGGGAGAATGTCATATGGTCAGATGAAACCAAAATAGAACCTTTTGGTAAAAACTCAACTCGTCTTGTTTGGAGGACAAAGAATGCTGAGTTGCATCCAAAGAACACCATACCTACTGTGAAGCATGGGGGTGGAAACATCATGCTTTGGGGCTGTTTTTCTGCAAAGGGACCAGGACGACTGATCCGTGTAAAGGAAAGAATGAATGGGGCCATGCATCGTGAGATTTTGAGTGAAAACCTCCTTCCATCAGCAAGGGCATTGAAGATGAAACGTGGCTGGGTCTTTCAGCATGACAATGATCCCAAACACACCGCCCGGGTAACGAAGGAGTGGCTTCGTAAGAAGCATTTCAAGGTCCTGGAGTGGCCTAGCCAGTCTCCAGGTCTCAACCCCATAGAAAATCTTTGGAGGGAGTTGAAAGTCTGTGTTGCCCAGCGACAGCCCCAAAACATCATTGCTCTAGAGGAGATCTGCATGGAGGAATGGGCCAAAATACCAGCAACAGTGTGTGAAAACCTTGTGAAGACTTACAGAAAACGTTTGACCTGTGTCATTGCCAACAAAGGGTATATAACAAAGTATTGAGAAACTTTTGTTATTGACCAAATACTTATTTTCCACCATAATTTGCAAATAAATTCATTAAAAATCCTACAATGTGATTTTCTGGAATTTCTTTCCTCATTTTGTCTGTCATAGTTGACGTGTACCTATGATGAAAATTACAGGCCTCTCTCATCTTTTTAAGTGGGAGAACTTGCACAATTGGTGGCTGACTAAATACTTTTTTTCCCCACTGTATGTGTGTTGAGTCCGCCTGAATGAATGAATGTACTTAATAGTTGTGCTCTGTCCTAGGCTCTGATATCAGCCCATGATACGGTGGCCCAGAAGGACTATGACCCTGTGCTGCCTCCTATCCCTGACAACCTCCCTGACGATGAGGAGGCCATGAGGATAGTCTGTCTGGTGAAGAACAAGCAGCAGCTGGTGAGCCATGGATTGGATACAACTGTTTGTTTTTAAGGAGGAAGGCTTAAAGCAAAAAAAATAACTAGATTAAAAGTATTATCACGGGTGCAACCTTTTAGACCTTGCTATTTTTTATTTATTTTTTTAAATACCAAAAACACACTTTTAGTACTTTCACACTTTTTGCAAGGTTACAGAAATGTCGTATTTTATGCACACCGAATACAAAGCAGCAACTCCTGAGGACCTGACCGAAGCTGTAACAAAGGGCAGATGATGCTTTCATAACATGTCATTAGTTTGATTGTTACGTTGGGTGACAGATGATTTCAATCAGAGTAAAAGTAGTAGAGATGGTTTTAATACTTCAAAATTCCAGGATGGCTTATGATTAGTGTCACGATGGGTCAGTTTTGGACACCAAAATATACAATTTCCAGTCACTCAATTTGAACCCAAAAATGTTCCTATAGTTATTAAGCTGTATAAACTCTGAAGCTCCTACCCATCCACATCTGACATTGTGACCTCTTTTGGAAACTGTTCGGAACAAATCTAAATCCTATCCTGGTGGCATACAGTTTTAGCAGTACCCTGTGTACCCAGATCCCTATTTCAGGGCTATACAGGTATCTGTGGTCTCAGACAGAGGTAAACCTGTCTAGCCCTGTCTCTCCCCTTGAAAGAGGAGCTCAGGAGGGGGGATCCGCAGTCGCTGGGACAGCCTGAGTGAGATGACCCGCCGAAGGCTGATCCACGGTGGGGCCAGGGCGGTGGAGGGCCCCCGGCATGGTGTGGGGGCTCTGGGGGCCGTAGTGCCCGGGAAGCGACCAGTCATGCCCAGCACAAGGAGAGTCAGCTACCCACCAGCTGAAGTGCTGTCTTCTGCTGCTCAACCACACCTGGGCAAGCCCCGCCCTCCGCCACGTTTTAAGCCAATGAGTAACTGTAGAATGTGCCAGACTGATGCACTCTGGAAAGAAGGAGGTCTTAATCACTCTGCCCCCTCGGTCTGCAGCTCGGTTCTGATTGGTAAGAACTAACTACAGTTGAAAATAACCTGAAAACGAGATGATTCAATACTGCCATGAGTAGTACAGTGCTGTACACTGCAATACATATCAGTTCAGTACATTATAATACCACACAATGTAACTTCTACTCTTATTCAGGCTAATAGATTTTGTACACATTTTTTTTCTTCAAAAATAATGTTGATTATTTTTCCAACCTCTCTCTCCTCCCTGCCTCTGGAGATAACGTGATCGAGGAGCCAGACAGTGGAGAAGACAGAGAGTCAGCCAACACCCTGTCCCGTCTCCCGCACCACGCTCCACCCCTCCAGCCCTGGACTCTCACCCCTCCCTGCGTGGCTGCATACCACATCTCCATGGGTGACTACCACTATCCCCCCGGCACTCCTCCTCAGTTCCGGAGCTACAGCGTCAGCCCCCGGGTTCGCACGGCTCCCCCCAGCCCCATGCAGCGTCGGCGGGTAGATGAAATGCCTCGCGACCAACCTGTGGAGCTGGCTAAGCAGGAGAGCCTGGATGAGCTGAGGTCCACTGTGCAGCAGGCTGCCAGCTCTATGGAGCGCAGCACCAATGACGTCCAGCTGCTGGGGCAGAAGATGGCCGCCGCCACAGAGCGTGTGTCTGAGAGTGTCCAGGAGAACACCCAGGCCCTGACGCTGCTGGCCCAGGTGGTGAGCAGACTGCAGACACTCATCGCTGCCAGCAGGGCGGTAGCAGATACACCGGAACCACACAGAGGAACCTGCAGCAGTAGCCCACCAGTCAACATATCAGCCAGCGAACAAGAACACACAGCCAGCAGCTTGAAGACTCAGACATCTGGCAACAAATCCCTTTCACGCCAGTCCAGAGTATGCTCCCTGTCCTCCTCCTCCTCTTCCTCCTCCTCTTCATCCTCCTCCAGCTCCTTCACTGGCTCTATGGATGGCATACCCACATCCCAGGGGAAGATCTCTCAGCCTCAGTCCCCAGCCTGCCATGGGTCACCCAAGGCAGGGTTGAAGACCAGGGTTCCTCCCATGTCTCCCAAAAAGCATGTTGGTGCTTCCCCCACATCTCAAAAGAAGCATGTGGAACCCCAGCCCCAGCAACCCCACCTCTACAATGGCCTCTCAACACCTCCACTCCCTGCCCCGCCCGCCCCCAACCACAACAAGACTGGCTGCTGCTCTAGCTCCAGCCAGAGGAAGAAGAAGAAGAGGAAGAAGAGGAAGTGAACCAGCCAGGAGGACAGTGGTGCTCTGTAGCTTCAGAAGACCTTATATTGCTGTGCTTCAGGGGACGGTCCTCTTCTTAAGATTCCCTCTGAGAGCTCGGCTTCTAAAGGCATTTATCCTTTCTTCTGTTATCTTCATCGCCTTCACGTCGCCCACCATTCATCCCGCAATTGTGACGTGTTGGCTATGGAGCGGGATCGTTGATGTCTTGCCCATTGTTGCGTTTCCATCCTCAAGCCATCCATCTGTGTTTCATGCCACTCTGTGTTTCCCGAATGTCATCTGTTATTTTCACATTATTTCATTTTGTAATTGTAAATAAAGCATGTCCATTATTCCCTTTTGACTCATGAGATGGAAACATCATATCACATGACACCCTCCATAACCTGTAATAGGCCAAATGTGTCATTGTTGCTGGTCCACCCCAGTCATATATCTGTGTATACTGTATCTGTGAGAGCTCCCGTAGACTGATTTAAGCCTGGATTCATGTCCCCCCTCTGTCTCTCTCTTAGGGAGCCACGATAAAGCGAAATGGGATAACAGGGGAGATATTTGTGGCACGGGTGATCCATGGAGGACTGGCGGATCGCAGTGGTGAGATCACCTTTCTCTCTCTCTCTCGCTCTCTGTGTCTATGTCTCTGTGTGTGTGTGTGTGTGTAATCTGTTTCTTCCTTTTCATTTGTGCCCCCCCACTCTCTCTCTCTAGGTCTGCTGCATGCAGGGGACAGGATTACAGAGGTGAATGGTTACTCTGTAGATGGCCTGGAGCCTGAGCAGGTCATTGAGATACTGGTGAGTCTACCAGCAGAACTGCTTGGCTGCCCAAACATCCATACATTTCACACAGTCAACACAGATGGTGTCTGTAGTAGGTCTTCATCCACCGGTGATGTACATAGGTGTTTATCTGTCTTTGGACCCACAGGCCCGGTCTGAAGGCACCCTCATGTTCAAAGTGGTTCCCATCACAGATAGACCAGTCAACAACCAGACGATGGTGAGAGATTGCATGTTTACTGACCTACCCTTCCCTGGAAACAGTATCAGACAAGTCATGTAAGCTGATTGAACCATAATGACACCAAAACCAGTCGTTTTCTTGAAAATAGGAGGTTACTATTACCAAGAAAACCCATCGTTTGGTTCCTGTCTTCAGTGTTGTAGTAGAGAGCTTTTCATTGCATTGTCCTTGTCTCTTGTTGTCTCTTGTATTGTGTCTCCTGGTGTCCCAGCTGTATGTGCGTGCCATGGCAGACTACAGTCCCCAGCAGGACCCGGCCATCCCCTGCGCCGAGGCAGGTATGGACTTCAGGAAGGGAGACCTGCTGGAGATCGTGGACCAGTCAGACACCCTCTGGTGGCAGGCCAAGAAACTACCCAGCACCTCAGCCTGTGCTGGACTTATCCCCTCCACCAACCTGCTCAGGAGGAAACAGAAAGAGTTCTGGTGGTCTCAGCCCTATCAGCCGCACAGCTGCATCAAACCCTGTGAGTAGAGTACAGTCTCATCTTTACATCTGGCTTTTCAGCTCTTTTAGACCAAATTATAAGCAGCTGGTAACAAGTATTACAGTGGCTTGCGAAAGTATTCACCCCCCTTGGCATTTTCCCTATTTTGTTGCCTTACAACCTGGAATTAAAATGGATTTTTGGGGGGTTTGTATCATTTGATTTATACAACATGCCTTTGAAGATGCTAACGTTTCATCCTAACGATGTTAGGATGAAACAGTCAGAGGTCACCAAGTGCAACATAGCTTCAGCGTGTAAATCAGCTAGAAAGATGTGTCGGCATCGAGTAATTGTCTCTGGCCCCCTCCCAGTTAGGGGAAGTGACGAGCTCTACAGCAGAGTCTCAGCACTCAATCGCTGGTTGAAAACTGTTTTCTGCCCCTCCCAAAATATAGAATTTGTGGATAATTGGCCCTCTTTCTGGGACTCACCCACAAACAGGATCAAGCCTGACCTGCTGAGGAGTGACGGACTCCATCCTAGCTGGAGGGGTGCTCTCCTCTTATCTACCAACATAGATAGGGCTCTAACTCCTCTAGCCCCACAGTGAAATAGGGTGCAGGCCAGGCAGCAGGCTGTTAGCCAACCTGCCAGCTTAGTGGAGTCTGCCAATAGCACAGTCAGTGTAGTCAGCTCAGCCATACCCATTGAGACTGTGTCTGTGCCTCGACCTAGGTTGGGCAAAACTAAACATGGCGGTGTTCACCCTAGCAATCTTATTAGGATAAAGACCTCCTCCATTCCTGCCATTATTGAAAGAGATCGTGATACCTCACATCTCAAAATAGGGTTACTTAATGTTGGATCCCTCACTTCAAAGGCAGTCATAGTCAATGAACTAATCACTGATCATAATCTTGATGTGATTGGCCTGACTGAAACATGGCTTAAGCCTGATGAATTTGCTGTGTTAAATGAGGCCTCACCTCCTGGTTACACTAGTGACCATATTCCCCGTGCATCCCGCAAAGGCGGAGGTGTTGCTAACATTTACGATAGCAAATTTCAATTTCCAAAAAAAAAATGGTGTTTTCATCTTTTGAGCTTCTAGTCATGAAATCTATGCAGCCTACTCAATCACTTTTTATAGCTACTGTTTACAGGCCTCCTGGGCCATATACAGTGTTCCTCTCTGAGTTTCCTGAATTCCTATCAGACCTTGTAGTCATAGCAGATCATATTCTAATTTTTGGTGATTTTAATATTCACATGGAGAAGTCCACAGACCCACTCCAAAAGTCTTTCGGAGCCATCATCGACTCAGTGGGTTTTGTCCAACATGTCTCTGGACCTACTCACTGCCACAGTCATACTCTGGACCTAGTTTTGTCCCATGGAATAAATGTTGTAGATCTTAATGTTTTTCCACAAAATCCTGGACTATCATGGCCTCTAAACCTTCAAGCTGCATACTGGATCCTATTCCTACTAAACTGCTGAAGGAGCTGCTTCCTGTGCTTGGCCCTCCTATGTTGAACATAATAAACAGCTCTCTATCCACCGGATGTGTACCAAACTCACTAAAAGTGGCAGTGATAAAGCCTCTCTTGAAAAAGCCAAACCTTGACCCGGAAAATATAAAAAACTATCGGCCCATATCGAATCTTCCATTCCTCTCAAAAATTTTAGAAAAAGCTGTTGCGCAGCAACTCACTGCCTTTCTGAAGACAAACAATGTATACGAAATGCTTCAGTCTGGTTTTAGACCCCATCATAGCACTGAGACTGCACTTGTGAAGGTGGTAAATGACCTTTTAATGGCATCAGACCGAGGCTCTGCATCTGTCCTCGTGCTACTAGACCTTAGTGCTGCCTTTGACACCATCGATCACCACATTCTTTTGGAGAGACTGGAAACCCAAATTGGTCTACACGGACAAGTTCTGGCCTGGTTTAGATCTTACCTGTCGGAAAGATATCAGTTTGTCTCTGTGAATGGTCTGTCCTCCGACAAATCAACTGTACATTTCGGTGTTCCTCAAGGTTCCGTTTTAGGACCACTATTGTTTTCACTATATATTTTACCTCTTGGGGATGTTATTCGAAAACATAATGTTAACTTTCACTGCTATGCGGATGACACACAGCTGTACATTTCAATGAAACATGGTGAAGCCCCAAAATTGCCCTCGCTAGAAGCCTGTGTTTCAGACATAAGGAAGTGGATGGCTGAAAACTTTCTACTTTTAAACTCGGACAAAACAGAGATGCTTGTTCTAGGTCCCAAGAAACAAAGAGATCTTCTGTTAAATCTGACAATTCATCTTGATGGTTGTAAAGTCGTCTCAAATAAAACTGTGAAGGACCTCGGCGTTACTCTTGACCCTGATCTCTCTTTTGACGAACATATCAAGACTGTTTCAAGGACAGCTTTTTTCCATCTACGTAACATTGCAAAAATCAGAAATTTTCTGTCCAAAAATGATGCAGAAAAATTAATCCATGCATTTGTTACTTCTAGGTTAGACTACTGCAATGCTCTACTTTCCGGCTACCCGGATAAAGCACTAAATAAACTTCAGTTAGTGCTAAATACGGCTGCTAGAATCCTGACTAGAACCAAGAAATTTGATCATATTACTCCAGTGCTAGCTTCCCTACACTGGCTTCCTGTTAAGGCAAGGGCTGATTTCAAGTTTTACTGTTAACCTATAAAGCGTTACATGGGCTTGCTCCTACCTATCTTTCCGAGTTGGTCCTGCCGTACATACCAATACGTACGCTACGGTCACAAGACGCAGGCCTCCTAATTGTCCCTAGAATTTCTAAGCAAACAGCGGGAGGCAGGGCTTTCTCCTATAGATCTCCATTTTTATGGAACAGTCTGCCTACCCATGTGAGAGACGCAGACTCGGTCTCAACCTTTAAGTCTTTACTGAAGACTTATCTCTTCAGTAGGTCATATGATTGAGTGTAGTCTGGCCCAGGAGTGTGAAGGTGAACGGAAAGGCTCTGGAGCAACGAACAGCCCTTGCTGTCTCTGCCAGGCCGGTTCCCCTCTCTCCACTGGGGTTCTCTGCCTCTAACCCTGTTACAGGGGCTGAGTCACTGGCTTGCTGGTGCTCTTTCATGCCGTCCCTAGGAGGGGTGCGTCACTTGAGTGGGTTGAGTTACTGACGTGATCTTCCTGTCTGGGTTGGCGCCCCCCCTTGGTTTGTGCTGTGGTGGAGACCTCTGTGGGCTATACTCGGCCTTGTCTCAGGATTGTAAGTTGGTGGTTGAGGATATCCCTCTAGTGGTGCGGGGGCTGTGCTTTGGCAGAGTGGGTGGGGTTATATCCTTCCTGTTTGGCCCTGTCCGGGGGTTTCTTCGGATGGGGCCACAGTGTCTCCGGACCGCTCCTGTCTCAGCCTCCAGTATTTATGCTGCAGTAGTTTATGTGTCAGGGGGCTGGGGTTAGTTGGTTATACCTGGAGTACTTCTCCTGTCTTATCCAGTGTCCTGTGTGAATTTAAGTATGCTCTCTCTAATTCTCTCGTTCTCTCTTTCTCTCTGAGAACCTGAGCCCTAGGACCATACGTCAGGACTACCGGGCATGATGACACCTTGCTGTCCCCAGTCCGCCTGGCCTTGCTGCTATTCCAGTTTCAACTGTTCTGCCTGCGGTTACGAAACCCCTACCTGTCCCAGACCTGCTGTTTTCAACTCTTAATGATCGGCTATGAAAAGCCAACTGAGAGACCTGAGCCCTAGGACCATACGTTGGGACTACCGGCCGTGGTGACTCCTTGCTGTCCCCAGTCCGCCTGGCCTTGCTGCTATTCCAGTTTCAACTGTTCTGCCTGCGGTTATGGAACCCCTACCTGTCCCAGACCTGCTGTTTTCAACTCTTAATGATCGGCTATGAAAAGCCAACTGAGATTTATTCCTGATTATTATTTGACCATGCTTGTCACTTATGAACATTTTTGAACATCTTGGCATGGTTCTGTTATAATCTCCACCCGGCACAGCCAGAAGAGGACTGGCCACCCCTCATAGCCTGGTTCCTCTCTAGGTTTCTTCCTAGGTTTTGGCCTTTCTAGGGAGTTTTTCCTAGCCACCGTGCTTCTACACCTGCATTACTAGCTGTTTGGGGTTTTAGGCTGGGTTTCTGTACAGCACTTCGAGATATTAGCTGATGTAAGAAGGGCTATATAAAATAAAATTGATTGATTGATTGAAGATGCAAAATATTTTTTGTGTGTGAAACAAACAAGAAATAAGACAAAAAAACTGAACTTGAGCGTGCATAACTATTCACCTCCCCCAAAGTCAATACTTTGTAGAGCCACCTTTTGCAGAAATTACAGCTGCAAGTCTCTTGGGGTATGTCTCTATAAGCTTGGCACATCTAGCCACTGGGATTTTTGACGATTCTTCAAGGCAAAACTGCTCCAGCTCCTTCAAGTTGGATGGGTTCCATTGGTGTACAGCAATCTTTAAGTCATACCACATATTCTCAATTGGATTGAGGTCTGGGCTTTGACTAGGCCATTCCAAGACATTTAAATGTTTCCCCTTAAACCACTCAAGTGTTGCTTTAGCAGTATGCTTAGGGTCATTGTCCTGCTGGAAGGTGAACCTCCGTCCCAGTCTCAAATCTCTGGAAGACTGAAACAGGTTTCCCTCAAGAATTTCCCTGTATTTAGCGCCATCCATCATTCCTTCAATTCTGACCAGTTTCCAAGTCACTGTCGATGAAAACCTTCCCCACAGCATGATTCTGCCACCCCCATGCTTCACTGTGGGGATGGTGTTCTCAGGGTGATGAGAGGTGTTGGGTTTGCGCCAGACATAGCACTTTCCTTGATGGCCAAAAAGCTCAATTTTAGTCTCAACTGACCAGAGTACCTTCTTCCATATGTTTGGGGAGTCTCCCACATGCCTTTTGGCGAACACTAAACCTGTTTGCTTATTTCTTTCTTTAAGCAATGGCTTTTTTTCTGGCCACTCTTCCATAAAGTCCAGCTCTGTGGAGTGTACGGCTTAAAGTGGTCCTACGGACAGATACTCCAATCTCCGCTGTGGAGCTTTGCAGCTCCTTCAGGGTTATCTTTGGTCTCTTTGTTGCCTCTCTGATTAATGGCCTCCTTGCCTGGTCTGTGAGTTTCGGTGGGCGGCCCTCTCTTGGTAGGTTTGTTGTGGTGCCATATTCTTTCCATTTTCTAATAATGGATTTAAAGGTGCTCCGTGTGATGTTAAAAGTTTCTGATATTTTTTTTTATAACCCAACGCTGATCTGTACTTCTCCACAACTTTGTCCCTGACCTGTTTGGAGAGCCCCTTGGTCTTCATGGTGCTGCTTGCTTGGTGGTGCCCCTTGCTTAGTGATGTTGCAGACTCTGGGGCCTTTCAGAACAGGTGTATATATACAGAGATCATGTGACAGATCATGTGACACTTAGATTGCACACAGGACTTTATTTAACTAATTATGTGACTTATGAAGGTAAGTGTTGCACCAGATCTTATTTAGGGGCTTCATAGCAAAGGGGGTGAATACATATGCACACACCACTTTTCCATTATTTATTTTTTTGAATTTTTTGAAAGAAGTTATTGTTTTCATTTCACTTCACCAATTTGGACTATTTTGTGTATGTCCATTACATGAAATCCAAATAAAAATCCATTTAAATTACAGGTTGTAATGTAACAAAATAGGAAAAACACCAAGGGGGATGAATACTTTTGCAAGGCACTGTTCTGTATATACATAACAGGAACACATGACAATTCTCTTATTCCTCTTGCTTACCTGAAGTGAGCACTGTGAATGAAGGTAAGTACTATGATCCTTTTTTATGGTGCCAGTTCTCAATGTGAGGCAGTTATTGTTACACTACATGGCCAAAAGTATGTGGACATCTGCTTGTCAAACATCTCATTCCAAAATCATAGGCATTAATATGGAGTTGGTCCCCCCTTTGCTGCTATAACAGCCTCCACTCTTCTGGGAAGGCTTTCCATACATTTTTTTTTTTACATTTTAGTAATTTAGCAGACGCTCTTATCTTATCTTAAGAAGGATTACTTTATCCTATCCCAGGTATTCCTTAAAGAGGTGGGGTTTCAAATGTCTCCGGAAGGTGGTGAGTGACTCCGCTGTCCTGGCGTCGTGAGGGAGCTTGTTCCACCATTGGGGTGCCAGAGCAGCGAACAGTTTTGACTGGGCTGAGCGGGAACTATGCTTCCGCAGAGGAAGGGGAGCCAGCAGGCCAGAGGTGGATGAACGCAATGCCCTCGTTTGGGTGTAGGGACTGATCAGAGCCTGAAGGTACGGAGGTGCCGTTCCCCTCACTGCTCCATAGGCAAGCACCATGGTCTTGTAACGGATGCGAGCTTCAACTGGAAGCCAGTGGAGTGTGCGGAGGAGGGGGGTGACGTGAGAGAACTTGGGAAGGTTGAACACCAGACAGGCTGCGGCATTCTGGATGAGTTGTGGGGGTTTAATGGCACAGGCAGGGAGGCCAGCCAACAGCGAGTTGCAGTAATCCAGACGGGAGATGACAAGTGCCTGGATTAGGACCTGTGCCGCTTCCTGTGTAAGGCAGGGTCGTACTCTCCGAATGTTGTAGAGCATGAACCTGCAGGATCGGGTCACCGCCTTGATGTTAGCGGAGAACGACAGGGTATTGTCCAGGGTCACGCCAAGGCTCTTCGCACTCTGGGAGGAGGACACAACGGAGTTGTCAACCGTGATGGCGAGATCATGGAACGGGCAGTCCTTCCCCGGGAGGAAGAGGTGGTCCTCTGTAGCTCAGCTGGTAGAGCACGGCGCTTGTAACGCCAAGGTAGTGGGTTCGATCCCCGGGACCACCCATACACAAAAATGTATGCACGCACGACTGTAAGTCGCTTTGGATAAAAGCGTCTGCTAAATGGCATATTATTATTATTATTATTAAGAGCAGCTCCGTCTTGCCAGGGTTCAGCTTGAGGTGGTGATCCGTCATCCATACTGATATGTCTGCCAGACATGCAGAGATGCGATTCGCCACCTGGTTATCAGAGGGGGGAAAGAAGAAGATTAGTTGTGTATCGTCAGCGTAGCAATAATAGGAGAGGCCATGTGAGGATATGACAGAGCCAAGTGACTTGGTGTATAGGGAGAATAGGAGAGGGCCTAGAACTGAGCCCTGGGGGACACCAGTGGTGAGAGCACGTGGTGCGGAGACAGCTTCTCGCCACGCCACTTGGTAGGAGCGACCGGTCAGGTAGGACGCAATCCAGGAGTGAGCCGCGCCGGAGATGCCCAGCTCGGAGAGGGTGGAGAGGAGGATCTGATGGTTCACAGTATCAAAGGCAGCAGACAGGTCTAGAAGGACAAGAGCAGAGGAGAGAGAGTTAGCTTTAGCAGTGCGGAGAGCCTCCGTGACACAGAGAAGAGCAGTCTCAGTTGAATGACCAGTCCTGAAACCTGACTGGTTTGGATCAAGAAGGTCATTCTGAGAGAGATAGCAAGAGAGTTGGCTAAAGACGGCACGCTCAATAGTTTTGGAAAGAAAAGAAAGAAGGGATACTGGTCTGTAGTTGTTGACATCAGTGGGATCGAGTGTTGGTTTTTTGAGAAGGGGTGCAACTCTCGCTCTCTTGAAGACGGAAGGGACATAGCCAGCGGTCAAGGATGAGTTGATCAGCGAGGTGAGGTAGGGGAGAAGGTCACCGGAGATGGTCTGGAGAAGAGAGGAGGGGATGGGGTCAAGCGGGCAGGTTGTTGGGCGGCCTGCAGTCACAAGTCGCAGGATTTTATCTGGAGAGAGAGGGGAGAAAGAAGTCAAAGCATAGGGTAGGGCAGTGTGAGTAGGACCAGCAGTGTCATTAGACTTAACAAACGAGGATTGGATGTCGTCAACCTTCTTTTCAAAGTGGTTGACGAAGTCATCCACAGAGAGAGAGGAGGGGGGGGGGGAGGATTCAGCAGGGAGGAGAATGAGGCAAAGAGCTTCCTAGGGTTAGAGGCAGATGCTTGGAATTTAGAGTGGTAGAAAGTGGCCTTAGCAGCAGAAACAGATGAAGAAAATGTAGAGAGGAGGGAGTGAAAAGATGCCAGGTCGGCATTCCACTAGATGTTGGAACATTGCTGCGGGACTTGCTTCCATTCAGCCACAATAGCATTAGTGAGGTCAGGCACTGATGTTGGGCGATTAGGCCTGGCTCGCAGTCGGCGTTCCAATTCATCCCAAAGGGGTTCGATGGGGTTGAGGTCAGGGCAACCTTTTCTGTATGGACCTCGCGTTGTGCATTTGGGCATTGCCATGCTGAAACAGGAAAGGGCCTTCTCCAAACTTTTGCCACAAACTTGGAAGCACAGAATAATCTAGAATGTCATTGTATGTTGTAGCGTTAAGATTTCCCTTCACTGGAACTAAGGGGCCTAGCCCGAACCATGAAAAACAGCCCCAGACCATTATGCCTCCTCCACCAAACTTTACAGTTGGCACTATGCATTAGAGCAAGTAACGCTCTCCTGGCATCCGCCAGACCCAGATTTGTCCGTCAGAGAACGCGTTTCCACTGCTCCAGAGTCCAATGGCGGGAAGCTTTACACTACTCCAGCCCGACTCTTGGCATTGCGCATGGTGATCTTAGGCTTGTGTGCAGCTGCTCGGCCATGGAAACCCATTTCATGAAGCTTTCAACAAACAATTATTGTGCTGACGTTTCTTCCAGAGGCAGTTTGGAACTCGGTAGTGAGTGTTGCAACAGAGGACAAACTATTTTTACGTGCTACGCGCTTCAACACTAGGAGGTCCAGTTCTGTGAGCTTGTGTGGCCTACCACTTCGCGGCTGAGCCGTTGTTGCACCTAAACGTTTCCACTTCACAATTAGAGCACTTACAGTTGACAGCTCTAGCAGGGCAGAAATTTGACGAACTGACTTGTTGGAAATGTGGCATCCTATGATGGTGCCACGTTGAAAGTCACTGAGCTCTTCAGTAAGGCCATTCTACTGCTAATGTTTGTCTACGGAGATTGCATGGCTGTGTGCTCAATTATATACACCTGTCAGCAATGGGTGTGGCTGAAATAGCCAAATCCACTCATTTGAAGTGGTGTCCACATACTTTTGTATATATAGTGTATATTATTATTGATTTTGCACTGACCTGTCATACTTTGCTGTTTCAGAGGAAGACCTGATGGCCATTGATGAAAAGTGTTTTGAAGCTGGTAAGATTTCCCACATTTCCTCTACAATAAATCACATTGTTACACTCGTTTGTTTACTGCAAGATGACTGGTGGATTATTTTGAATGTTTTTTCAATTTTCTAACAGATGAGGAAGCTTTTGAATCTGGTAGGTAAGTCTTTGTTGAAGTTAGTTCATCATTTAGCCTATGCTATATAAAATAGAGTATCACTCAACTATAACACTGTTTTCTTTATCTCAACCATTTCTGAATTCCAATTTGGAATGTAAGAGGAGCTAAGACAAGGTGAGCATGACCTGCTCTACTGATCTAAATGAGCATCAACTCTAACACCCTGTCTAGTGACATACACATTCATCCCATGATGATGCTCTTTCCCTCCCTGTTCCCCTGCCCCTAGAGGAGGGTGAGTTCAGCACTAACATCGAGGGGATCTATCTAACTGGGTTCAGACGTAGCCTGCGTCTGTGTCGGCGGCAGTCCCTAAGCACAGGCTCCAGTCAGCAGTCCTGCTACACCCGCTGCTCCAGCAACTGCTACAGTGCCCTCAACAACCCATACGAAGAGGTGGTACGATACCAGCGCAACCCGCAGGACAAACACCGCCTGGTCGCCCTCGTTGGTAAGACACCAGTCTGGCACTAACCAGCTACACAAATACATTGGCACAAAATTCAGATATGTATTGACTGTCATGAAAACGTACTGACTTGTGTATGGTTCTGTGGCCAATAATGCAGAGACAGTATGACTCATGTTGTGTCACTGTTTTTGTACATGGGCAGTGTGTCTCTACTTCTATTGACACAGAATATGTGTGACGACATGACAGAGACCTCACAAGTGTGTTCTCTCTCAGGTCCCTCTGGCGTTGGAGTGAACGAACTTCGCAGACGGTTAATCGAAATCAACCCAGTGACCTTTCAAGGAGCAGTGCCTCGTAAGTACACCACCTAACCTCTGTGAACCTTTCAGTCTATTTTACTTTCTTCCATTGTTGACATGGATACAATCAATGTCTTATTTGATGTCGTCCTATGATATCTTATATGTCATCTGAAATATTTGTCCTTCTTCCTCCAGACACGACACGAGCCGCTAAGAGCTATGAGGAATCTGGTAAAGAGTATCACTTCATCAACAGAGAACTGTTTGAGAACATGGTTTACAACAACAAGTAGGTACTCACTGAATAATAGCTGCTCACTTTCCTCTCACAAACACATCTTGTTAAATCAACTGTCACAACATGAATGTCACTCGTGGCCTTATGTCCTAATCGGGACAAAGAGGATTAAGTACGTTCATAACATTGATGTGGATCACCTGATTATAAACCAGGGTGTTGTGTTTTGTTTTAAACCAGGTTTCTGGAATACGGGGAGTACAAATGTAATTTCTACGGCACTAGTCTTGATGCTGTGAAGGATGTTTTGAACAGTGGAAGGATCTGTATCATCGACATCGAGCCTCATGTAAGACCTGCTGTGGTTCTTTTCAGTGGGGCTTCATCATTGACTTGGCCCTTATTGTGGAGTTAGCTCTGTGTTGACTTCAGTTGCATCTTGGCCAGGTCTTCATTGTAAATTAGAATTTGTTCACAATTGACCCAAGTATGATGACTGTCCCCTTTTAGGCCATCCAGTCAGTGAGGACACATGAGCTCAAGGCCTACATCATCTATGTGAAGCCGCCCACCGCAGAACGCATGAAGGAGACCAGAAAGGATGCTCAGATCACCACCAATTACTACGTCAACAGACCTTTCAAAGTAAGCACTATTATGGTTTTATTATGCATCACCGCCTGGTATGGCAACTGCTCGGCCTCCGACCGCAAGGCACTACAGAGGGTAGTGCGTACAGCCCAGTACATCACTGTGGCCAAGCTTCCTGCCATCCAGGACCTCTATACCAGGCGATGTCGGAGGAAGGCCCTAAAAATTGCCAAAGACTCCAGCCACCCTAGTCATAGACTGTTCTCTCTGCTACCGCACGGCAAGCGGTACCGGAGTGCCAAGTCTAGGTCCAAAAGGCTTCTTAACAGCTTCTACCCCCAAGCCATAAGACTCCTGAACAGCTATTCAAATGGCTACCCGGACTATTTGCATTGTTGTCGTCCCCCCATCCCCTCTTTTTACGCTGCTGCTACTCTCTGTTTATTATCTATGCATAGTCACTTTACCTATACCTACATGTGCATATTACCTCAATTACCTCAACTAACCTGTGCCCCTGCACATTGACTCTGTACCGGTACCCACTGTATATAGCCTCACTACTGTTATTTTACTGCTGCTCTTTAATTATTTGTTATTTTTCTTATTTTCTTCTTATCTTATTCTTAAAACTGCATTGTTGGTTAAGGGCTTGTAAGTAAGCATTTCACTGGAAGGTCTACACCTGTTGTATTCGGAGCATGTGACAAATAAGATTTGATTATCATTTCTCATTTTTTTCATTGACCAGGAAGTCTCTCACGGTTTGAACCTGTTTTTCCAGAGAGACCTGGTAATAATACGCCATCCCTATGGTGATCAAATGGTTGAAATACTGACCATCATGCCATAGTTTAAGATAGTGACCACTGTCATGTTATTCTGTTCCCAACAGGAGGAAGACTTCCAGGAGATGGAGGAGGCAGCCAGAAAGATGGAGTCTCACTACTGCCAGTTCTTTGACTATGTGATGGTGAACGACGGGCTGCAAGACTCCTGTGTTCAGCTACTGAGGGCTGTGACGAGGGCTCAGGACGAGCCACAGTGGGTTCCTGCCAACTGGATACGACCCACAGAGGAGTTCTGATGAGAAATTAGGAGAGAAGAGGAGAGGGGGAGGAGAAGAGAGGCGAGGCGAGGAGGACATAAAAGGATAACAAACAGATGGAGCGCAGGGCATCGGAAAAGAGGGAATGGAGGATAACATGGATGAGGAGTGGCTGCTACTTCTGAAGATACCTTCTGCTCTCCAGTGGAATTTGTTTAGGATTGGATCAATTGTTTTGTTTTGTTTAGTGTGAGTTTGAGAGACTCAAACAGATACTGTCCTTGTGTTTGCTTGAATTAGTTGTTGGCTAATTTGCATATTCAAGGCTATGATAGAGCTGGATTAAACCAAAAATCATGTCTGTTTTTCTCTGAAATTGTGTGCGTAGTTGGAGATCATGTATTGATGTGCTACAAAGGCCTGCTATGAGAGGTTGTAGGTTAACCTCTCATCTTTCGTTTACAATTAGAGCAAATAATTGTCCATGCTGAATTTGTGTATTTTCTTAATGTTTTTATTTTATTTAATAAAATGAATGTTAATGCCAAAGAACGAAAATGCAAGTGCTCTAGATATGTACGGTGTGTTTCAGCAGGAAGGTGAGCAAGTAAGTGGAGTTGTGTGCGCACCATTGAACACAATGTTGTCATAATACTGAAGGACCTGAGACTGAGAAACCTTCAGTACAGGCTGTAATTACAGGCTATTATTATACCGAATATTTTTTAGAGTGTAACATAATGGGATATGGAATAATGCTAAAATATGTGATGTATACTGTTACTAATTTAAAAAATACAATTTTGTGTGTGAACACGTGTTTTGAATGTGTTTTTGTAGCGTTTCTGTGTCAAAATGTGCAGAAGACAGAAGGCTTTTATTTTGAAAACCGGAAGTTCATTTTTATGTTGTCAGCTAAAAATCACGGTAATAGCAAGGCAACGAGTGTAAACAAAGTGGTCGGGTAAACAACAGTGTGGCAACCAACATGCAGGCGTTACAAGCCCAACAGGTTTAAACAGCTATGTAGCTAGCTAGCTAACTAGCTAGTTCTTATCGGGGTTCGGTTTTAAAAGGGTATCCCGCAGAAATGGCCACAGGAGGATTCCAGGTATGTAGCTAGCTAATGTTGTAAAGGTCGGAACACAAGGATGCTCTAGCTCAAATGTGCAAGCAAGCTAATTTAGCTGACTAGCTAGTTATAATTGTGCTATATCTTAGTTAGCTATAACTATTTGTCTATAAATTCGTTATAACTAGTGAATTGTGTCCTATACCAGTTGCCCAGTGTGTGCGATTTATGTTTTTAATCTCAATATTTATTTAGGCACAGAGCACGCGACGGAGGGACCTCCCGCCTCTTCCACAGGTACCACTACCATTAGCCTGCGCAACTACACTTACACGACCATCCATATCATACATCTTAAAAGTGTGTTTCGACCTGTTACTAGCTAGTGTGCAGCACATTGTTAGCCTATGAGCACAAGCCCAGTCAAAAGACAGCTCTTTCTTTTCTTCTGTGGGTTTTATGGCGAACTACATCCAGAAGTTGTATTGCTGCCACCAACTGGACGATTTGAAACCAAAAAATAAATACAAATAAATCCATACTTAATAGTGATTCTAACAGTCCACCCTAATAAAAAAAATAGTACATTGCCAAAACAAACAAAACTCCCACTTCTTCCTTCTTTTAGTTCTCCATATCTCCCTTCTCAGGCTCTAGGATCTGAGAAGGTGGTACGGCTTTTGCTAATATTCCATGTAACTCCTTTGCTGTGAAATCTTTCAGCCCCAGGAACCACTCCGCCGCAATCACAATGATTTCAATCTTCCTAGATCTTTTCTCCACCTTGGCAGTGCCATTTATCACCATTGCGATAAAGGCCACAAAGTCCACCTTTTTAACCTTTAAAATGTCAGGATCCTCTTGGTGTAAGACAACCCCTGCAGCCTACAGTGAAGGCCTATCCACTACCATGGACTCTTCTGGTGCAACATTCAAACCCTCAACCCTTTTCACAGCATCTGTATATGAAATGCTCTGTACAACCCTGACTTTGGCCACCTCATTCTCCTTTACCCTTGTGGGGCATTCAGAAGACATGGCTTCATGATTCCCACCGCAATTACAACATGTCGCATTTTCTTCAGCAAAAGACTGCTCACAGCAAGCCAGTTCCCATAGAGCTCTCTGGCTTCTGCACTCAGCAACCTGCAGAGGGCACAACAACACCAAAGCAGAGAGGGTGTGACGGGACCTTGCTGTAGAACCATACAGCATTAGGGGCAAAGGTCAACAACACCATGAAGAGGTGGATGTAGCTTATGTCACTTCAAAACTGTGGTCCAATATGAGAGGGAAAGAAAATAGCGCCCTAATAATCATCAACATTGTTCTTACACCAAATTCTTACATCAATAAATGTGTTGTAGTTTAGTCTAGGCTACTTCCGTTGAGGGTCTTCACTGTATACGTCAAGGGGTCAAATCCCTCAGGTCTGAATAGTCAGATCTGATCTATGTCTTGGTTGGTTGGTAATCCAATACCTTGGCAGATGCATACTGCAGATTTAGCCCAGGATTAAGCAGCGTCACCAAGGCTGTGGCACAGGAATATCCTCAGAGCCCTTCCTGATTCTTGGATGGAATGGTGAGAAAACAACTCACGGTAAGTTCTCTCTCATACACAGTCCTGGGCCTGGTTTTGGGAAACCGGGCCTTGGTGCTGCTGGATCTTCTCTCTGTACGAAAATGACTCTCTTTGCTGAGTCCAGTTTGTTGAGTTTTGGAGGATTTTATTGTTGAGATCAATTTGAGAAATGTATTGTTTGTGACTGGGAGTGTTATCTACTTTGAAAGCAATTTTTGGAGAGAGCTTTGTACAACCACTTGTTTGGTTTTGTTGTTCTTTGGTTCCCCTCTGTTCCTATCTCTTGGCATGTATGAAAATAATGAAGTATATTAAGTAAATATTAAGGTGTGTTATGTAAGATGTTGGCCAAGCCTCATTCTCATCTTCCTTGTTGTCCTCTTCAGCGTGGACAGCGTGCCCTGCCCCCCATGTCAAGGTGAGCCTAGCCTCCTTATGCTGTTGTGATAATGTTTCAACTCATTTATCCCAGCAGAACTGCAGTCTGATACATCTCTCTCTCTCACACACAATCTCTTTCCCTTTTTTATGTATGGCATTTAAACAACTGCATGAAGTCAAGATACGGGTGGTGAGTTCTTTAGATGGACGTTGTAGTAGATCATTTACCTATAGAATTTAGGTTGGAGCTGCTGGCTTGGATATAGTTTACTTAACCTGTTTTGTCTCCTATGTAGACGAGATGCCGGTCCCTAAAAGCAAGAGGAAGAAGTTGAAGAGTCAGGTGGATGGTGTTGAAAGCCCAGAGGGTGGGTGGAAAAGGAATAGTTCCCAGGAATAGTTCTCAGGAGCTCCTTCTGTTGAACTGCTGGTCAACAGCTTTGTTCCAGAGTTTGGAATTTTGGAGGCACTTTGCCTTTAAGTTTCAATCTATCGATTAATTATAAGGCTTGCATTCCACTGTCAAATAGTAGTGTATATACTGTTAAAGTACTAGTAATGACTTGAACCACATAGTACCGTATTTTCCGCACTATAAGGCGCACCGGAGTATAAGCCGCAGCAGCTAAATTGAATGATGTGTACATATATAAGCCGCACTGGACTATAAGCCGCAGGTGTTTTAATGTTTAATTACCATATGTAAGGGTTCGTGCACAGAGGGGATTGTCGGGAAAGAGACAAACTGTCTCGACTCTCGTAATGTCTGTCTGTCTTGCTCTCGTTCTGTCTCTCGTTCTGTCTCTCGTACCACTCTCGGTTCCACTTTTACTTTTGCGCGCTACCTGTCTCACTCTTTTCCGGCCTCCAGCTTTTCCTGCTGGAGCCCGCCGCTTAAAGGTGGGGGGCGCGGACCGGTCATAGAGCCCATAGAGTTAAAGTTGGTGGACTGTAACCTGTAAAATCCATAGATTTAGGAGGTCTTCTAGTGGCCGTTAGCTGTAAAAATCCATAGATTAGCCGCACCGTTATATAAGCCGCAGGGTCGAAAAATGGGGAAAAAGGCGCGGCTTATAGTCCGAAAATTACGGTAAGTACAGCTCAAGTATATAATAAGAGAGTTGTGTTGTTTGTATGTGCAGCAGAACCAGGGATGGAGATGGCCCAGATGGGGGGTCTGAGCAGTCGCAGGTCATCTGAGGTCGTCCAGCCCCTGACCCCCGAGTCGCAGGAAGCTGCACCACAGAGAAGGAAGAGGAAGAAAAAGGCAGCGACTATAGGTAAACAACATGCCTCAGGGGAACCATAGACCTACTCTTCCTACATTTCAACTCAAACATGATATTGTCTGTGTGTTAGCTCTTCAAGCACTTCTGCATGGTTAAGAATATATTCCACTTATATTCAATACATTCAGTTCTTTTTTACCATAACCATTTATAGGCTATATGTCATAGTTGTTCTTACTGTAATCATGAAATGTATTAGGTTATTAGGAGCGTTGTTCGTTCGCTTGTTTGTGTCTCAGACCTGGAGGAAGACCAGGCTGACCTGGTGAACGGGGATGGACTGGTCCAGAACACAGCCGAGGCAGGGGAAGAAGTGACCAAAAAACCCAAGAGGAAGAAGTAAGACACACAATAATATAGCCTATCTATGGTGTCGAAAGTAGAGTAAAATGTGTGTGGTAGGTTTTCACTTATATGGTTCTACTATGATAGATCCTTCGCTTTTATAAAGAGCTCAGTTTCCCTCTCTTTCTTTCTTCCTTCATGGTCACTCCCTAGGAAGTCAAAAGTGTCAGAGACGCAGTACGTCAACGAGGTTGATGTAGAGGACGATGACATCATCACAGACGCTCAGCCACCCATCCCCCAGCATTCCCTGTTCTCTGCTCCCATGGGACAGAGCCAGCCAGTGGGGAAGGTGTTTGTAGAGAGGAGCAGTGAGTGTCCCCCTCCCTTCTGTTATTTAATGTTAGCTCTACATGGTAGAGTTTAAGAGTATGGGTTGGTTTCCAGAACACAGATTCATAAACCTAGTCCTGGACTATGAAGCAATTTCAGTGGAAAACCTCCATTGGAAGCGTTACTTGGTCGAGGACTAGTCATGTTTCTGTGTCCGAAAAAATTGGCCTTACATGAATTCTTTGGACCTCCTTTTGTGTCCTGTCTTCTATGTTGGATAATGATGTGTTGTTTAACTTTCAGAGAGGTTTCAAGCTGCCGATCGGTCAGACAGACCGAAGTCCAGCGATCAGGTGGACAACTTCATGGACACCCAGCAGATGTGGACCACCAAGGATGTGTCTGTTAGGGTACATGGTGGCTTCAGGTGAGTCACATGTGTGTGCGTGTGCATGTGTCTGTTTGAAAGACTGTGTGTTTGTGTGTGTGAATGCTCCCTCTATCTCACGTCTCTATATCTCTCTAATATACAGGGTGATTGGGCTGTTCTGCCACGGCTTCCTAGCAGGCTATGCAGTGTGGAACGTCATAGTGATCTATGCCCTGGCAGGAAAACATCTCACTACTCTGCCTAACCTACTGCAGCAGTACCACAGCCTGGCCTACCCTGCACAGTCTCTCTTCTACCTGCTACTGGCTATAAGCACCGTGTCAGCCTTTGACAGGTAAGGAGGGGAGAGAGGGTGGGTGTGTGTGGCACACTGAGGTCAGGCCCAAAATAAATGTGGCCATTGTTGTGAAAATAGGGGAAGTCTATGGCTAGAGCTAGGAGGTGTTTATTTGTGTGTGTGTGTACAAAGCACTGTCGTTCTGTTCCATCAATAGACACCCTCACAAACACACACACACACACATCTCCTTGCTCTAGCCACAGGCTTACACATTTTATAACAAAGGCCAACTCCAGTGTGCCCCGTCTCTCCCCAGTGTGTGTGTGTCTTTGTGGAGAGACTCATTCTCTTTCCATTTCAGGGTGAATCTGGCCAAAGGCGCCATGGCTATGAGAGAGTTTGTCACCCTGGACCCAGTTGCTCTAGCCTCTTTCTGTGAGTTAAAACATCTTTATAGTATGTTACTCTATTCATTCAGGACAGACCGAGCTAACCTGTAAACACTTTGTTTCTCTGGCCTTGGCAAATGGTCATTTCACTGAAGTAACTTTCCCTCTCCTCCTGCAGTGTACTTCTCAGCTCTGGTCCTCTCTCTCAGCCAGCAGATGACCAGTGACCGCATCAACCTCTACCCCAGCGCTAACGGGACCTTATGGTGTGCTAACTAACTGTGTTCTTATTGTCTTGATATTAGCATGTAGTTCTATGTTAGTTCTTGTATATTGATTATCCTACTCAGCAGTATCACTGTTGGAGTCGGAGAGAAGAGAACCCCCTTTTCTTCTGTTCCTCGGACTCCAGCCAAACGAACCAAAAAGCATTGTGACCTTTACACCCCCTCCCCTCTCCAGGCCTCCTGGGTCAGAGCACCAGATCCTGAACCCGTGGATCATAGTGAACCTGGTGGTGGCTGTGCTGGTGGGAACGGCCTGGATCTTCATCTCCACTAGGCCTGAGATGGACTACACCGAAGGTGAGACTGAAGTTGTGTTTTTTAATTAAACAAACCGCAACTTAACATTTCCACAGACATAGTTCCACAAAAATGGACATGACGTTGACAAAGACTTACTGCACAACAGTCGCAATAAACAGAGACTAAATCAAAAAGATGAAGAAAAACAACACCTACTCAGACGTACATACATTTTGACAGACATTGTTTACATGCTCAGTCCTATATGTTACCACGGTTTCAATACTTATTATCTATATATATATTGTTTAAGGTTTTGTATACAGCATACTGATATTGTATACACCATAGAAATATAATTACTAGAAGGGACAAAGCACCTCAGACGGACCACAGCAATTTGACTGGATTGTACACACACTCAGCAACCTTACCGAATGACACACGTTAAAGTCCCTTCAGAGATGTGTGTTTTCATTTTTCATGTGTATAAAAGGGATGATCAGCTTTGTTTTCAGTTGCCTTTAGAAATAACATGGGCTTCCAATCTCTCTCTCCATCTATCCCCAAACCAGGGTTCCTAATGGCTATGGAGATCGAGTCCTTGAGACCAGAGGAGAAATCAGAAATGTCTACTTGAATAGTTTTTTTCCATTTTTGCTTGCACATCTTCTTTTGTACTGTATTTTATCAGCCAACACAAAATGTATACATTGTTTGTGGTAATAATCAGTTTATTTTTGTATGGCCCGAATGTGTGCTTGTTTTTTCTAATGGATTGATTACCATTGAAAATAATAACAATTGTGTCCCACTGAGATGCTTCTATATGTAATTTTGGGGACTTTAAACCAAACATACCATTAGTAGTGTATTGACCTGAAACAGCATGGCTGTGCCTTGTTATATACCACACCATTTAATACAGTGCCTTCAGAAAGTATTCTTAAGTCAAAACTGTAACTCGGCCACTCAGGAACATTCATTGTCTTCTTGGTAAGCAACTCCAGTGTAGATTTGGCCTTGTGTTTTAGGTTATTGTCCTGCTGAAAGGTGAATTTGTCTCCCAGTGTCTGTTGGAAAGCAGACTGAACAAGGTTTTCCTCTAGGATTTTGCCTGTGCCCATTCCGATAATTTTTTAAATCCTGAAAAACTCCCCAGTCTTTAATGATTACATGCATACCCATAACATGATACAGCCACCACTATGCTTGAAAATATGGAGAGTGGTACTCAGTAATGTGTTGTATTGGATTTGCCCCAAACATAACACTTTGTATTCAAGACAAAAAAACGAATTGCTTTGCCACATTTTTTGCAGTATTACTTTAGTGCCTTGTTGCAAACAGGATGCATGTTTTGGAATATTTGTATTCTGTACAGCAGGGGTGTCAAACTCATTTTAGCTCAGGGGCCACATGGAGGAAAATCTATTCCCAAGTGGGCCGGACCGGAAAAATCATGGTATATATAACTTAAAAACAACAACTTCAGATTGTTTTCTTTGTTTTAATACGATCAACATACAACATAAAGCTGGAGCCTGAGGACAGTGTGTCCAAAATAGTACAAGCACAACATCACTATTAATCATAAAACACGTCAAGTTTATTTGAAAATTCTAAAGAAAAAGAACACAAACACACAATGCCTCAGTGATTAACATAACTGTTTCACAGATCACAGAACTATATCAGGGTGTCATTTCTCAGGCAGAAATGTAGATAAAAATAATGAAATCCTGTTCCCCAAACAAGTGCAAGAACCACAGAGTCAAGAATAGGTTAAATATACAAATAAAATAAAAACAATTAAAAACAATAGCACATCAACATAAAAACATAAATCTGAAAGCGTTGCTCAAACTCCCGTAAGGGTCCCGTTATTTTATCTTTGAACCGCTTCATGTCTGCCACATGTTGGGTCGCGCACACATTTTTCAGACAGGGGAAGTGAGCTGCATCACCACCAGCAAGTTGCGTCTCCCACAATGACAGCTTCAACTTGAAAGAACGTATGCTGTCATAATACTGCGTGACAACTTTGTTGCGCCCTTGCAGCTGTTTGTTCAAGTTATTCAGGTGCTCTGTAACATCCACCATAAATGCAAGGTCCGGCATCCATTCTGCGGAATGAAATTCTAACACTGGTTTGCCCTTTTCTTCCATGAACTGTTCAATTTCTTCTCGTAAATCAAAGAAACGCCTCAGCACAGCACCTCGGCTTAACCATCTTACCTCAGTGTGGTATGGCAGGCCACAGATGTGGTCTTTCTCTCTGAGAAGGCTGTCAAACTGACGGTGATTCAGGCTTCTGGATCGGATGAAATTAACAGTTTGGATGACCACCTTCATGACGTTATCCATCTTTAATGACTTGCAACACAAAGCCTCCTGGTGCAAAATACAGTGAAAAGTCAAAAAATCACGTCCTCCATTTGCAGATTGCACTTTCTCTCTGAACTTTGTCACAACGCCTGCTTTTTTCCCGATCATTGAGGGCGCACCATCTGTAGCCAGGCTGACAGCGCGGGACCAGTCCACTCCGACCCTGTCCAGCGCGCCGACGAGTGCGTAAAAATATCAGCTGCCGTCGTTGTATCTGTCATCGGCACCAACTCCACGAACTCCTCGGTGACGGTCAATGTGTCATCAACTCCGCGGATGAAAAAATTGCCAGTTGTGCAACATCTGTAATGTCCGTGCTTTCATCAATTGCAACCGAAAACGCAATAAATGACTTTACTTTTTGCTTCAACTGGCTGTCCAAATCCACTGAAAGATCGAAAATCCTGTCTGCAACTGTGTTTCTTGTCAGGCTGATATTTGCAAAAGCCTGCCGCTTTTCAGGGCACACAATCTCCGCTGCCTTCATCATGCATGTTTTTACAAATTCACCCTCACTAAATGGTTTTGAAGCCACTGCGATTTCATTAGCAATGAGGTAGCTAGCTTTCACTGCAGCGTCACTGATGTCTCGGCTGTGAGTAAACACAGACTGCTGTTTCTTCAGACCCGCCAACAGTTCATTCACCTTCTCTCATCTCCGCTGTCCTTGAAAGTTGTCATATTTGTCGGCATGAAGACTCACATAGTGACGACGAAGGTTATATTCTTTCAGCACTGCAACATGCTCTGAACACACCAAACATACAGCTTTCCCATTCAATTCCGTGATTAAATAGGATGACCATTTTTCTTGGAACACTCTGCACTCTGTGTCCACTTTTCTCTTTTTTGACAGAGACATATTGGGGCAATGAGGGTGCCAAAGCACATAATGTTAAAAGTAGAAGCCGTAATAAATATCGCGGGCAAAACAAAGTAGCTCATTGGCTGCACGTGCTTGACCTACTTGCTCTAACCCGGTATAAACAGTTTGCTTGCTTAACACAATTGCTATTGCGCCATCCAGTGGACGCAATTGGAACAGCAGTTAATTTTATTGAATAAAAAAAAAAAAGTAACTTTTTTTTTTTTTTTTTTTTAATCATCTCGCGGGCCGGATTAAACCCGTTTGCGGGCCTGACACCCCTGCTGTACAGGCTTCCTTCCTTTCACTCTGTCAATTAGGTTAGTATTGTGGATTAACTACAATGTTGTTGATCCATCCTCAGTTTTCTATCACAGCCGTTCAACTCTGTAACTTTTAAAGTCACCATTGGCCTCATGGTGAAATCCCTGAGAGGTTTCCTTCCTCTCTGGCAACTGTATCTTTGTAGTGACTGGGTGAATTGATACACCATCCAAAGTGTAATAACTTAATGTGCAATGGGATATTCAATATGTGCATTTTATTTATACCCATCTACCAATAGGTGCCCTTCTTTGCCAGGCATTGGAAAACATCCCTGGATCATTGTGGTTGAATCTGTGTTTGAAATTCACTGCTCGACTGAGGGACCTTACAGATAATTGTGTGTGGGGTACAGAGATGAGGTAGTCATTCAAAAATCATGTTAAACACTATTATTGCACACAGAGGCCATACAACTTATTATGCGACTTCTTAAGCAAATTTTCACTCCTGAACTTATTTAGGCTTGCCGTAACAAAGGAGTTGAATACTTATTGACTCAAGACATTTCAGCTTTTCATTTTTATTTATTTATTAGTAAACATTTCGAAAAACATAATTCCACTTTGACATTATAGGCTATTGTGTGTAGGCCCAGGACCAAAAAAATCTAAATGTAATCAATTTTAAATGCAGACTGTAACACAACAAAATGCGGAAGAAGTCAAAGGGTGTGAATACATTCTGAAGGCACTGTTTACCACACCATTAACCCAGAGCGTTACCATACCATTAAATCAAATACAAGTAAAATGTGTTGCACTCGAACTAGGGCTGGCACAATAATCGTATTGTCGTGTAACCGACAATTATGGACATCAACCGTGAAATCGCAAAAAATTATTGTCATTATCGTCTTAAAACATTAATTGTAGGACGGTGGGATTCAACTTTATTCACAAGTAGATATAGTTTACCCAGTAGCAGTTTTTCATTATTAAATGAGGAGGGTAAAGTTAGTAATCATTTTATGAACAGAACAGCATGGTGGAGAGGAGAAGCTTCCTTTCCAAAAGTTCCAAGCGATCAAAACCATTCATTTTTTAGATATGTTGTATGTATGAGGTATGTCGTAGCTATTTCCAAAGATACATTATGATACATTACAAGCTCAAAACCTAACAAAAATTACAATTATGACAATAACCGCTACCCCAAATTCCATAATCGTCACAGCCCTAACTCGAACCCTAAGTTTAATGTCTTAGGCGCCTTCCCCTGTCTCCTCTGTTGCAGTCTAAACAGCTGTGCCAGTGCGTGCCGTACCTAGCGGGTTGATGCACAACGGTGCCATGAACACAGTTAAGAGAGCTAACGCTGTTACAGTTTTTCTCAGTCGCTTTGGTGCATTTCTTAGATCAAAAGTGCAATTCTTGATACTACTTGTACAAATTCCAAATCATCTAGTCACTTGTGCACATCATTAAAGCAATTTCTTATTCCTTTGAACAAATTGCAATTGCTTTTGTACATATTGCAATTGATAATGTACAAGTGTCAGCTTTTTTCCACATTTTCAATTGCTCATGTCATGTTGATCAAAATATAGTAGATGGTTCTCTGTTGAATAGTCTTACCCCTCAAAACATCTAGGCATTAGTTCCTTGCATAAGCCCTTACATGCAAAATTGTTGAACTATTTGTCATAAACTGTCAAGCATAGTTTTACACATTTCTATTAGACCTTTTGTACAAAAACGTAAATTGCTGAATCGTGCAGGTGAAATTAACCCTCACTCATGAAGGAATGTAAAGTGTTAGTTCAACCAACAATCAACCAGTTGTCTAAATTGCTCAAAGGTGCATCTCATGAAGAATCAATTGGCAAGCATATATAGACAGACCACAACACAGAGTTGCAATTTTCCAATAATGGATGGACCAGGAAACGAACAGGGTCAACAGCCAAGAGGAGGAAGAAGAGGAGCAAGGATGCGTGGTGGAAGGCAAAACAGAGGAAGAGGCAGAAGAGGACATAGGCGCATATCTGATGACATAAGGGCCACTATTGTAGACCATGTTGTCAATCATGGCCTTACAATGGCTGAGGCGGGTCGAAGGGTGCAGCCGAATATTGGGAGATCAACCGTGTCCTCAATAGTACAAACGTTTCGAAGAGAGAACAGGTATGTCCACCAATGTACAGTGCACTGTTACTGTATATAAGCAGTATACTGTATACTTCCTACAATGCTTCATATTACAGTAGTCCACTTGTATTTCACAGCATACAGAAATATACTCTATACAGATACATACTGCACCTTACATGCACCCACCTGTATGTTTTACAGTAAAATGTGTGTTCGCATAGTTTTTGTCTATGTGAAAGTGT